CCTGCAGCACAGCGGGGCAGCCGCCCGCCACCAGATCAGGAAAACAGCCACCTTCCAGCAGGAAGTCGAGTGCTGCTGCAAGGCTCCGCAAAGGTGCGGAACCTAAGGCCTGGGTGCTGGATCCAGCCCCCGAAGCTTGGGGTTCTGTCCACCTTTGCTCCACTCCCCACCCCGTGGGGCTGGAGCGCACAAAATCGACTAGTCTGGGCCCTCCAATGCTCTGGACTGCAAAGGGGATGTCTTTCTTCCCCTCAGCTGGGGGCCACGTCAGGGAGGGCTTTTTTGTTTGTTTGTGTCTCACTTGTTTGCAGCCCCCCAAACCTGATTTTGGCCCCTGACTCCCAAAAGATTCCTCACCCGTGAATTATAAGCAACTCCAGCCCCCTCCCCATCTCTCCACATACCTTCCCAGCCAGGATGCTCCCTGGCCCTCTGGAGAAAGGCACAGCTGAACACTGGACAATACCGTGGGCACACCAGAACCAGGAGCATCTCTCCTTGCCTGCAGGTCACCCTCCTTCATTGTCACAGTGCTACCAAGCCAAACTGCCAGCCGCCAAGGAGCACCCCCCGCCAGGGAGCAAAATAACTCTGAGCCCAAAGGACACACAGGCAGGAAGAGATTCACTGGGCACACACCCAGCCCCCCCCACGGGGAGCGCGGCCCCTCTCCCCCAGGCAGCGAGCAGCCCAGGAAGCAGGGGTAGCGGGAGGCAGCCTGAGCCCAAGGGGCCGGCCTCTGACCCTCCCCATTTGCGGAACACATTTTGTCCGTGCACCACCCACAGGAACAACCCCCCCGCCGCCGAGGCTCCCCGGAGGGGCGGCACGTGACTCTTCTCTGCGCCCCGCTGAACTGCAACCCCCTTCGAGACACCCACGTGACTGGAGCCCGGGTCAGCTCCCGCTGTCCCCGCCCCGCACGCCAAAGGGGGGCGGGGCACAGCCCCGTTCTCCTGGCACCACGTGGAGTCCGGGGGCCGACACGTGGCCGGGGGGGACTTACAGGAGTGATGCAGGCAGTGCTGGGGGTGGCTAAGGGAGGGAGGAAAGAGGGGGTGGAAGCAAAAGCCTCCCCCTGCCCAATCGAAAAGCCCCTGCCTGCACTGACCACTAGGCGAGCAGGGACGTTAGACAGGCATTAAGTGAATAGGTGTGTAATTGCACAAAATATTATCAGTTACACGACTATTCGACAGTCTCCAGAGGTGGGGCCGGCAGCCAGTGCGCTCCCAGCTCCCACTCCCAAGAAGCCCTCTGTCACCATGGACTGCTTCCTTTGCCGCTGCCCCGGCATCTCACGCAGCTGCCTCCATCCGCAGTGAGCCCTGGCGACCCCCACCCCGCCTGCCACTGCTGCCTCTGATAGCTGACACGTGCAGGGAGCAGGCTGGAAAGCTTTGTGCAGGTACCGGCTCCCTCTGCCCCCCCCACCCTCCCCGCCCCGCTATCACAGCAGTGCCCAGGAGGGAGGGGCAGGGGGACAGGTGGCTCTCCATGGCACTGGCTCCCATTCCCCCCACTTTGCTGCTACCGAGACAGTGGGCGGGTACGGAGGAGAGGTGTGGGAGACAGCTGGCACCCTGTCCCCCTGCTCTCTGTGTCGCTTGTCCCTTTCCAGCCAAATAACTGAATCCAAGTAAATTGTTTTTGCAAAAAAACCCTCCACTTTTCTGCAATTTCTTTCTCTCCAGAAAGGAGCGTGTTTTGTACCATGCACTGCACATGCTGACGGTAATTAAAAGCAGAGAAACACTGAACATGCAGTATGGTTGAGTTCTGCTTGAGATGTATAGGCACGAGCAAGCTTTGTGCCGGTGGGCAAGGCAATGTCTCCCCGAGGGAGGGGCTCCTTCACAGCGAGGGCAGCAGCCCCTGCAGCAGTAGACTCCTGATACCAGCACAGCGTCAGGGCAGCTTCCTCTTCCAGCCTCGCATGACCCTTGCCCTGCACATGGGAACGCCCGAGCCAGCGGGCACTGCACTTCCCATGATGCCCTGGGGCCTCCAGTCCCCCACTGGCCCCGTGCTTCCCACACGCTTTGGTCTGAAATGGAGAAGGGCCCGTGGAGCCCTGGTCCATTTCACACGTGGGGAGCACGGGGCCAGCGGGGGCTGCTTGAGTTCCCTGTTGGTCCCACGCCCCCCACGGCACTTCCACCTTTGCAGAGTCAGCGAGGCTCATGCTGCATTTCAAAGGTGCAGGCGCCCCATCGACCCACTGAACAGTCGCGGCAAATTCCATCAACGATTCGATTAGTTGATTCTGCTCCACTGAACATCCCTAGCGTCACCCGCCGATACTCCACCTTCCATGCCACAGGCGTGACAGGCTGAACCCCTCCTTCCCACCAGTTATTCCTGCCTGGCCTTCCTGAGCAAAATCCTCCTGCTGTAACTCATTCAGCTAAAGCCTGAGGCACCACGGCCTCTGGAGCAGAAACCCTCAATCCACAAACCCTCTATAGTCTGCTCAGCCCATGGGCTGCTAGTGCGCCGGAGGGGGGAGGGCCCGTGCCCGTTTCTCAGCCGGGCCAGAGCCCCCCCATGCCCATTTCTAGAGGGCCTCTCCCGCCATTGCTGCCACCTACCCGGGGTGACGGAGCAGGAGGGGAAGTTGGCGAGGATGGCGTGAAACTGGAGCAGCGTGTAGAGCCTGCCCAGAAGCACGTTTCCCATCACCTGGCTCCTGCTGAGGGGCGAGTGGATTCGGCCCTGGACAAGCAGAAAAAGAAGGAGCCGCGTCACTGATCCTGCAAGGCTCAGCTGCATATGCCGCGCTGCCCTGCCCACCAGCTCTGCCCCACGAGCAGAGAAGCGAGCAGGGCAGGGAGGTGATGCAGCATCCATGAGACTGAGATTGGAGACTGCAGCCTGCTTCAGGGGCCACATTTTGAAAAGCTGTTGGAAACTTAGAGACGCGGCAGCAAAGAGCAAAAAGTCTGGAGGGCTGCAGAGAAAGTCCTTCTCCTCTGCTCTTGAGCTCCGTGTGGTTGGCTTGTCCAAGGAAAGCTGAGCGGTGACGTTACTCGGGCGTCTAAGGGCCTTTCCGGAGAGAACATGTCGGGTACCAAAGGGCCGGTTCATGGTGCAGAGAAAGGCAGGACAAGAGCCAGCGGCTGGAAGGTGAAACCAGACACGTTCCTCTTGGACATAGGGCACCAATACTTCACAGGGAGGATGATTCACCACTGGCACAAACTACCAAAGCAAGTGACGGGTTCTTCATTTCTTGATGTCTGCTAGTGGACATCATCTGAAGTTTTCTGACAAGCTCTAAATAACCTGTCCTAAGTCTCCCTCAAAAAAAGGAAAAATTCCTTGTTTGCTCCTAAAAGAAAGTTAACTCTCTATATGATGCTCTTCCATTCTCACACGCCACAGGAGATCTCAGCTTTAAAAATGATTATGGATAGTTACCTTCTACCACAGGGTAAAGGCATGCTGGCACAGGGCTATTCTGTTTTCCCCTATGTATATTTGGGACTATGGAATAAAGAACAAGCAAAAAATGTGAGTTAGGATTACCCCTAAATGCTTCAAACCCCATTTGAAAAACACACCTATGTCTTGCACAAACCTCATTTCTCTCTCACACAAATCACACACACACAAGCCCCACATACATTTAAAAGTCAATTGCAAAAAAGTTACCTTTCACTATGGGATAAAGTGTTGCAGGCACATGCTTGTTCTGTTCCCCCCCATGTGTGCTTGGGCCTTAAGGTTAAAGAATAAGCACAAATGTTAGTTAGTATTACCCAGGTTTTTTTTAAAACAGTATTAAGCACAACTACAGTTAAAAATGGTTTTTACCTTGGCCTGGTGGTGAACTGCAGCTTAAAATTACTGGTTCCATGTTAAACAGATCACACTGCAATAAAGATAGCCACCATTATTTTACTGAGAGAGCATGGCCAAAGAGTGGCATTATAGAATATATATTTTCAAAGTTACAAACAGGGAACATACCTTCTCCTGTTGCAGTCCAGCAGCCATTCAAGAAAGTTTCTGTTGAAAAGGGCAGTTGCCACCATACCTAGGTTTTTTATACCCTCCTAACTCATTGTTTCAAACAACTTCAACATAGTAGCTAACAGGTGAATTTGATCACTGCAACTCTAACATAATAGATCATTGAAGACTTTAGGCACCCCTCCCTAGCATGGCCTTTCGTGATCTGGGGGTGGAAGAATTAAGCTGTCTCCACACCTGAGTTGCTTTTGGCTACATTTTTTTTCTTTTAGTTTTGTAGGGCTTTCTTACAGTATTAACAGTAAAAGCACCAATCCTTAATGTAGCTGTACCCATTTCCATGTGGGACCCTTTGCAGATATCAATAAATGTCTTGGGGTTTGTTTTTTACAACATGCTTCTTTCATGCTTAAGGCTCGGGGGTTAAATAAAATGCTTTTAAATGTTTGATTGTCTTTATAGCAAATGCTTGTTCTAAAGTTTGGGTAAAAGTTTGAAATATTTCAGTTTTGGGTTAGACCCTTAATTTTTTTTTTAACTGTTAATGGCTAGAAAAAGTAGCCCATAGCATTCAACCAACTCCTGGGTCATATTTAAACTGTCCAATAGCGTTTCTACCAACTCCTGTGTCCTTTAAACTGTCCAATAGTGCTCTACCAACCCCAGGGGTTATATTTAAACTGTACAATAGTGTCTGCAAACTCCTGAGGTGTTATTTAATTAGATATTCATCAGAGCCTACCCATCCAACCCATCAAATTTAATTACTAAACATTAACCTCAACAAGGGTAAGTGGTCACACCTAAACCTAACCATTGACTAGAGCCCCCTGGCTATTCAGTAAGGTGTGGTTAAACCATTGAGTTCATGTCTAATAAATCCTAACTGGGTGGGGGTAGAGGGGGTGACTTTTTTCCTTTTTATTTAAAAAACAAAACATTTTGGAGGGGTTTTTCTTCCCCCGAGTTTCTACCATACATCTTTCAGGGTTTTTCAGTAAATGGACCCCTTTATACAAAATGGATTCTCACAAACTTAATTTTTTTAAATGATTGTATTTAAAAAACATACAAACCATGTGTTCCACCAAAACTTTTACTCATGTAAGGATCACACAAACCTTCTGACAGAAGATAGTCACAAAAGCCCCTTTTCAAAATATATTTACAGCTACCAAGTTTTATATCTCATGTGTGTCCCCTCACCATTCTCTAACTTCATCCTTTTAGACATCTTACAAATAGTCTTTTTCTTAAGCAGGGTTCTGTAACTTTTTGTACGCCCCAGACGTTCAATATAACGCTCTAAGCAGGCGTCTTTTGGCTTGGTCATGGTCTTTAAAACACTGTGAGGATCTTGACTGAATTGCACTGCATTTACCAAAGTCACCCCTTGTGCTAAGTGTTCTTGAGTTAAGCACAGACATTGCATAGCATATCCTACGGCAATAACAGTATTTAATAAGCTTTCCAAACACAGTTCAGCACATAGGCCCCGGAGCTTGCAGTTTATATCCTCTGGAGTCCAAGTCACACAGTCATGGTGCCGCTGGGCTGGCGCATCTATTACACAACCCTCACAGTCCTCAAAAAGCTTTTCCCTAAGACAGTGACTAAGGACGGTATAAACACCAACGCGTACAATAGAGCGCATCACTTTTTTACGCTTATGATGTGGCACTGGCTCAACTAGGTCAATGCACAGCCACCTCCTCAATTCTTCATGGCCGTCATCCTTGGCGTTCTCTTCAATGCTTTGTATCGGTGTTGAGCAAAATCAAGGTGGGCCCGGTTCGTCTTCCTTGTCCGATGCAATACTGTCCTGGGTCTGAGGGTCAGCTAGAAAGGCACTGTCAAGCTGTCGAGAGATTGCCAGAAAGAAATAATGTAAGACACTCTGGTCATTTTTTTTTTTTTAGGTTTACAAAATCCTGGTTTCCTAACCCCATGATGCCCCAACTTTGATCTTTCATTTACCTCTTTGACTTCTTTTCCATGCACCTTGTCCGACTCCTGGGAGCCATGGGCACCTTCCTCCTCCAGGCCATCTAGCTCGTCGGGCTGCCTCGTGAGCGGTTGGGTTTCAGCGTCAGATACTGGTGTATCCATCAGTGGCTGGGCCAAAGGGCCCCCTTCAACTTCTCCTTCCTCCTCGGAACTGTCGCTGATGTAGCGCTTGCTTCTTGGCACCAAAACAAAGTCCAAACTTCTGGTGGGGGTGGTGAAGGAGTCCATGTTAGCGTTTTCACACTCTGTGAAACACGCGCTCTTGGAACAAGATGGCCTCTTTTGCGTGGCGCTAGAACTTATGGGGAAGTGCTATGCTCTGATTGGCAGAGGGAGTCACGGGAAGCTCTTAGAGGGGTCACACGACCCGCTTCTGGGCTGGTCATCCGGTCCCGGAACTGCCCCTCCCCGATTGGCCAAAGCGGATCGCGGGGCGGTCCTACAGGGGAAAAACCCTTCCTGATTGGTAGAGGGACGCGGGGCTAGTTCTTAGAGGGGTCACACGACCCGCTTCTGGGCTGGTCATCCGGTCCCGGAACTGCCCCTCCCCGATTGGCCAAAGCGGATCGCGGGGCGGTCCTACAGGGGAAAAACCCTTCCTGATTGGTAGAGGGAGGCAGAGCGTGTTCTTAGAGGGGTCACATGATACCCCTTACTTCCGGTCACCTGCCCCTCTTGACCCCGGATGTATTACCCCCAAGGGCTGAACTTCCGGTGACAGGGGACGGGCATAACGGGGGTCACATGACATCCTTTACTTCCGGTCACCTGTCCCTCTTGACCTGGGTGTACTACCCTCCAGGGGTGGGACTTCCGGTGACAGGGGAGATGGGACTTCCGGGGTCAGGGGAGACGGGACTTCCAGGGTCAAGGGGGCGGGGCTAGCATTTGATTGATGGTAGGGCCCTTATACTACTTGTTACTCTGGTTGTTTGGGACAGGGAAATTGGGGGATGCAGGAGTCAGAGCAGGGGATTGGAAAGCACGAGTGTTCAGTAAGGATTATGCTCCCTGGCCAGTGACATTGCTTCACAGGGCTGGATGAGGCAGGGTAGGCGGTGCTGCCTGACCAGTGGCTGCAAACTAGGGTTGGTTCAAGTGTTGGGGATATGGTGTCCAGCTGGTTTCTGCTTCCCCCAGTTGGCATGCTTGCTGCCCCCATAATCATTTTGGAATATAAGTGTCCCCTCCATGCTTGCTGAACCCCTCATGGTCATTCTGAAGTATAATTGTCTCTCCCTTTCCCTTGAAGGAGAAAATGTGATTCCAGGCACATCCCATTGTCCTGGCACAACCAAATTCTTACTTTGCTTTAACTTGTAAGAGGAAGCTGCATACCAAATTTGCCGGTCCTAGCTCTTACTGTTTAGGAGGAGTCTTAAGTTAGATTTGCTCCTCAAATAGAGCTGCACCATCCAAGGAGAGGTCCTTTATTGATCACCATGCCTTGGCCAAGACTGGAGAGTAGCAACTTGGACACACTCTGCATGGACACTACTGACACAATGCTACCGGCTGCAGCGTTCACTGCCTCCAAAGCCGCCTGGAGCACCACCCTAGCTGCCGTAATGCTTTCCTCCACCAGAGCCTAAACTCTTCCTTCAAATCCTCTGGGATAGAAGGTTCATACTTTGTTATAGCCTACCCAAGATGTTCACAGCATAGCAGACTATGAAGGCCTGCTGATTTGCCATTTAGAGCTCACGGGTGAATTAAGTTTACACCTAAATAAGTGAAGTGTTTTTGAGTGGGTTTTTGGGAGGGGTGCCCTTGATATAGGTTCACTGTTTCCACCACCAGGCAATTTAGGGCAGGTGGGAGTAGAAATACTCATGTCCCTCGGCATGAACAAAGTACTTGCGCTTTGCCACTTGGAGATGAAAGAGAGGTTTGCCACAGAGCATTGCCTATTTTGGCCACCCCATCATGGAGAGCTAAGGCTACCAAGGAGCTTACAAACAGGTGACTGCTAACAGGGAGTTTAGAGAGGGAGTCTGGAAGGGGAGAGGGAAGGGTGCGAGGTTCTCTTGCCTTTCTTTTTAAATCCTTTCTCCAGGACATCAGGCCTGGATAGTGATAACGTCTGCTGTTACCTGCGCAGTGTGTGCCATGTTTGTCTTCCTCCCAGAAGAAAAGAACGGTTACTTACCTGTAACTGTTGTTCTTCGAGATGTGTTGCTCATGTCCATTCGAACGGTGACACCACCTCTGGGAGGAAGGCTGGATGAGGCCGTAGCCTGACGTTACTATGTGAAAAAACAAGGTAGGGCGGGTCTACAGTTAGCACCCTTAGTTCCGACACCCTTCGAGCCGATGTAATGGCCACGATGAAAGCAACCTTCAACGAGAGCCAGTGGTTCAAAGGGGGGTAACAAGCCTGTGGAGGACAACATTGAGGTTCCAGGCGGGAAGTGGGGCCCTCACCGAGGGATACAACTTTTCCAAACCAGTAAGAAACCTTTTAACCACTGGGTTAGAAAAAAGGGAGACTCCTGCCGTACCAGCATGGAAGGCGGAGAGAGATGCCACATGGACTTTGATAGAAGAAAAGGACAGGCCACTAGACCGAAGCTGCAAAAGATAGTCAAGAATAGCTGGAATAGGAGCCGAGGACGGGTGTACTCCTCTCCGGGATGCCCAAGATGAGAAGCGCCGCCACTTGGCAGCGTACGACCGTCTAGTAGAGGGTTTCCTGCTACAGAGGAGCACCATCTGGACCTCCTGGGAACATTCCCTTTCAGGTTGGTTCAACCACGGATAAACCAGGCCATTAGGTGGAGAGACTGGAGATCTGGGTGAACCATGATCCCCTCGTCCCAAGGCTGAGTTAGCAGGTCCCGGACTGGAGGAAGTGCTATTGGATCTTGGGTAAGCATATCCACTAGGATGCGGAACCAGAACTGCCTGGGCCACCAGGGAGCTATGAGAATGATCGTGGACCGAAATGTTCTCGCTCTGGTCAACACCCTGGAAATTAGATAGAACGGGGGAAAAGCATAGAGAATGCCCTCTGGCCACATGGTCGTCAGGGCATCCCCCAGGGTATATTTCCCCAGCCCCAGCATAGAACAGTAGTTCCAGCACTTGGCATTGTGTGCCGAGGCGAACAGGTCTAGGCAGGGATAATCCCACCTGCGGAAACCTGACACAGAACAGAGTCCTTGAGCGACCACTTGTGGGCTCCAAAGGATCTGCTCAGTGTGTCTGCTAGCAGGTTTTTGCACCCCAGGAGGTATTCCGCCTGAGGCGTGATATTGTGCGTGTCACACAGGTGCCAGAGTCGCA